TGTCAGTTACGAGCTCCCCCTCACGAATGTCTCAGTTGCTTGAAATATCAGTGAACAGGCGGCTTAGCAAAAAAAAAAAAAAGAGAACTACAAGAGGTGAATGTACGCGAAAAAAAGTTGAAGATCTTTCATGTCATAGCTGCAAAAGAAAGTAGTCAGCTAAGAATGTAGCGAAGGAAAGTACAGTGCAGCAATATGTGGCTTTCCTTATAATGTAGATGGGATGACAAATGTAAATTAAGGTACGAAAAAAAAAACTTGCCAGTGATGCATTTCGAACCCACAACCTCCTGATCAAACGTGCGCTGCACTACCGATTGTTGTCTCACAGTAGCAGCTGTTGCCAATCCACATTCTTCTTGAAAACTGTACAGGACCTGATCAAGCTCTAGCTGCAGCGCCATGCATTGTCGGGTAGGCACATTTAGAACGAGTATTCACACAATTACGAAAGCGGAACATAATAGTGACGCGAATACAAACCACCAGGCTGAGGGCATTTTTCACAGAATGCATCGCTACGCCGCTGACGTCAGGCGCTGAAACAGCTGCTGAGACGCTTCGGCATCGCTTTGCCAACAATTGTGGCTTCGCACTTCGGCCGTGTGTGGGCGAGTGCATGCATTTATATTTATGCATGAATGCATTTACACTTAGCATGCATGCATTAATATTAGTGAATGCCGATAACCTGAACCACCGGCCCCACACTGAATTGTGCAGTGCACCAGCGCTACAGAGCAGTGTACTGAAGACCTTGCCTCTGGGAGGCGTTGACAAATTAAAACACGTGCTTTTCGGAGGTGCAATTATTCGAATGTTTAAGCAAACTTAAAATATTTTCCACCTTGCGCAACGGGCTCGAACGGCGGGCAGGAGCTGTTCAATGATTTAAAATGGGGCGTAATTTGTAAAACTGATGTAGATGATTAATAATAATAAAAATAATAATTAAAATGGACAAAAGATGTACCTTACCACAGTGTTTCCCTCGCATAGGGGGAGCCAGGAGGATAAGTAAGCGTCGATAAGCGGCCACGTGGAAAAAAAAACATAAAAAGATTGATTTAAATTGACGGTTGATAACAGCGAGGGAAACATAGTCGTCATTGAGGGTGTTTTCGAAGTGAATGGTAGATGCGCTTTTTGATGCGTTGGTTTCTGTATCACTTGCTGAATCATAGCCACATTTCATCGATCCGCGGTGATTACGAGTGGAAAACCCTTCAGAAGTGTCAAAATGGCGATGGGCTATTCGAAGGAAGGATTTGAATTCGCCCGTTTGACTCGACCGCTTATTTCTATTGGCTAAGACGTTAATGCCGTGAATTTCTATAATTTCTCCCGTAATTATTACTTGTACGCATCTGGAGATGCCATCTGCTGACGTGAAGGTAATGCCTCGGGTAGCACGTGGGTAGCTCCTTTCTGTTTTTTTAGATGCGAAGCATCTCAGAAAGGGGGTTGATACGGTGTTCGGCGTGATCATCTTTACTGCGCATGCGCAACAGTTGGCCCAAGCACTCTGCGAACGTGGTCACGCGCAAGCGCGTTCCGGCCTGTGTAAGGGGCTGGGTAAGACGCTGTGGCCTGTCCCCCTTACATTTCCTTAACAGTCATGCAATGACGTCGGGGGATGAGATTCTGCAGACGTGTGATGGACCAACACATTCTATCCTAGTCAGCACGCACTAGCAGGCTGTAGCGAATTCTGGCCGGCGTAAGTGGTGGTGTAAGAGGCTGTGGCCTCTCCTCCTTACACTCTCTCAGCATTAGATGTCTGCCAAGATCGTGCAGCAGCTTGTGGAGTGGCGTAAGGCTCGACGCGCCGAAGCGCAACGTAAACGTCGGCAAGTGGACCCCGCCCGAGCTCCGGTCTAGAGAAGCCCATCTAAAACGGCAACGTCGGCATGAAACTGGTACAGATGAAATGCTGGCTCGACATGCCGAAACGCAAGCAATCTCCGTCGTACGCTACGCTGACGTGGACGCCAAGCGTCAGTCGATGAGGTGCGAGTTAAGCACTCCAATCGCGTTCGGAAATGGAGACGGCGCGCTGGTAACACCGACGAGACGCGAGCCAAGGAAGCCGAGCTGAAGCGCCGACAGTGGAAGGCCAACGCCGGTGAATCCTCGACGTGGCCGTCATCGGAAACGTCATCGGCAATGTCTCGAAAGTGACGCGCGCCCTCCACCGAAGCGCCTCCCGCAAGCGCTGGGCTCCGCCGGCCGATCCGGAACTTCTCGAAGACGGTCCTGCTCCAAATGCGTTGCCGTGCGCGTCGGCGACGTCGCGATCCTCGCGCTGTATCTTGATGGGACGGGTTCGACGCTGTCTAGAATGCAGCGAGGCGTGTCGATGTGCGCCTCTTACAGTCGCGGAAGACTTCAACCTTGTGGACAGCAGAGGAGGAAGAGAATGGCTTGTGGATTACATGCGTGACGTGCACTCACTGAAGTGCATGCCGGCGGAACGGGAACCACCAACCACAATAAGGGGAACGTTCATCTTTGTCAACTTCGACATCGCATGTTTGCAGGATCCTCTCAGCTTCCAGTTCACCGATCACAAAGCCATTATAGTCAAGGCGAAACGCGCGCAATCTCCGATCAAGCACCCGTGTCCATTCTGAAGAAACGACAAGAACTACGCCAGCCATCGCTTCAAACGAATCTTCCAGCGCTCTCGGCAGCACCCGCGTTCACGCCGTTGAACCCGTGATGCCACCTGTGAACCACGCTGCTGCTTCGGCATCCCATCAGGGTTTGCTTTGGGAAGGTGTCGTTAATTTTTAAGGGAGAAGACTCTTGTGCCTTGGGTCGTATGTCCCGAGACGTCGTAGTAGTCGTAGTCGCAGTAACCAGCTGCATTGCATTGCATGTCAATAAAATTCGGTGTCACAGCATATCCACGGAGTGAATGATGATGAGTGGGGTGAAGCGTCCATCCGACTGTCCATCCGCGCGTCCGTTCATCTGCTTCGCCCCACTCGTCATCATTCACTTCGTGACAATATGACCCCCTTGACAATATGGTGTGATTATTTTTCAATATTGCTAGACACATTTCTCAAACACCTTATACAGCTCTACAAGAGAAATGCAGGTGCACGAGAAAAGAAACCATTATTGATGACCACTCAAAAAAAAGCCCCGTAAATCAGCCCAGCGATGCAATTGTTAAAACATCCAAACTACCCTTTCACTCAAGGCATGAATCTTCAATTTAGAGTACACATCAATCGAATTCATTGAAGCTTTGGAGGCTTGCTTTGATTGCCCCAGAGGGATGTTATGGAAATTCACAGATATCAAAAATATACAGTGAGTACAAGAAAGAACGGAGCTTCTCTAGGAGCGATGGCTAAGCGATCTAATCTAAACGATCAACAGTGGTCAATTCAGCGGGCTTGGGCAGCGGTGGGAAGGCTATGCCTCATTGCACATAATGCCCGGGCGGCAGGAGCAAGAGCGGGCAAGTTCATCCGTGCTTTTATCAATACATTATTTCCCGTCCGCCTGTATTTGAAATGTTCTACGCCCCGCCGCGGTGGTCTAGCGGCTAAGGTACTCGGCTGCTGACCCGCAGGTCGCGGGTTTGGATCCCGGCTGCGGCGGCTGCATTTCCGATGGAGGCGGAAATGTTGTAGGCCCGTGTGCTCAGACTTGGGTGCACGTTAAAGAACACCAGGTGGTGTTTTTTAACGTGCGCCTAAGTCTGAGCATTCCGGCCGCCGTAAGTGCTCCGAATCCGGTTCGGCGGCGGTGAGATCCGCCGAAAGGGCCCTCTCCGCGCCGATCGCTCTCGGACCGATTTTTACGGCGTCTGCCGCCGAATCGGTCACCGCGGACCAATAGGAGCGCTAGGCAAGGAATTTAGAAAAATGGTGGCCAAGCCCTACTCACTTGTTTTGCTGCAGTGCACGTAACTGAATGTTGAAACCAACGGGAGTTTAACCTACTGTGTGCCTACTTCGCCTCCGTATTTCGTGAAAGAGGTGACCGAGCTTGCTGTTGGCGTGACCGAGCTTGTTGCGGTCTTGCAGAGCAAAACGAACCCACCAATGCTGCTGGCATCGGTGGTTTTTCTGCTCTTCGTGCGTTACAAGACAGCCACTTGCCAGCAAAGTAAGCAGTACTGTCTTTTCTTGCTTCTTGCGTACGAGAATCGTCGAAGTATACACCACTGGATAGCGTAGTAGCGTTTTCGAGCCGCGACAACCGGGTGACAGCGCATCCATCCCGCATTCGCCCCGTAGTAGATGGAATATATGGCGGCGCGGGGCGCGTCCAGTGCGAACGACGCTTCGTTTCGGCGGCAGGGGAATTTCGGTCGCTGTAGAAAGTGGATGTTTCAGTGCGAACTAGGCATAAAGGTGGATTCACGCGAGGGCATGGAGGAGGAATTTTCGCAGCGTACGGCGCGTCACGTGACGTGTCCGTCATCGAAACTTGCCGCCCTCGCTTCATACGCTCTCCTCCGCTCGCGGCACGAATGGAGATGCATCCTCGCTATTTCGACGCCACCTTTTGACGGTCGTCTGCACTCGATAGAGAGGATTCAGCGTCAAATCTGTCAACATTGGTTAGATTGGCGTGGCTAGGAAGCAAGCTGGCGGCTTGAAAGCCACGTGCTTTAGTTTTGCGGCAACGACCGAATGTGGTTCATGCACCGTGGTTTCGTACGACAGTGGAAGACGCGAGTGGTTTTTGGTCGCATTAGCGCAGCATAAGCATAGGAGTTGAGAGTATGCACGAGAATTCCGCGAGCGTAGCTCCGGCTGTGTACATGTGGCGTCTCCGCTACTGCGCCGGATTAAACTCTAAACACATTAAACTAATCACGTGACTGTTCAGTCCGCGGAGCAGTGATATATCTTGCTCTCACGTGAGAATATAGCTTAAAAATCACAAGATGGGCGGCAAATACCAATTTAGGTTTCTATAATTCTTGTAAGCACGAAAGACACGTTGACGAGGCGAAGTACACAGGACAAGCGCTACTTTCAAGTGAAATTTTAATGAAAGGTAAAATCAAATGTATAGCTGTACCCACTGAAAAGAAAAGCGGGAAAACTAGACAAGATAAAACAACAATATGTGAAATTTCTGAGTCTGCACTCATTTAAAGCAAATGCCAATAACTGAATACTGATCGCCTCAGTGCCTGTTTTCATGTGCGTAAGCGCATAAATAAATCAAAGTGCGAGGCGTGGCACGAAATTTAGGCAAGGTCCGTTTTTCTCGTTTTTGTGGAACAGCTTACTTTACGACTGGTTTACGCGCAGAAGCAGATTTTCCAACTCATCGTGCAACTCTAACGCTTCGTTCCACCTCTTCCACTGTGGTTCTGTAGCCAGAACGATGGCGTGATTGGATTTTTCTAGCAACGCATCGCAGTGGACGCCGAAAGGCAAGTCACAGAAAACCACAATGTCCCAGTTGTATTGTCTCAACGTCGGTATATCCGCAGATGTCGCCACGAAGACAAATACTGACATCAAATCCATGTCTTCGAGCTCTTCTGCAACCTTCATGGAGTCCTGGCTCTGAAGCCAACGCTTCAGGTCTCGCCGAGAAGCCACGGTCGGCATGAGGGCTAGCGTCTTTCCCTGAGCGTTGTTTATGACAGCGTCTCCTTTCAGCTTCGTCATGAGGTTCTCGCACTGCGCCAAAAATGCTTGCAGCTCCGCGCGTGGATTGGCCATCATCATCTTTTTCGCTAAACAGCAAGCCGCCACAATGCCTCGCTCACGAAGCGTTGTACCAACTTCCTGTACTTCTGGGTCATCGGAACTGGACACAATGGAGCCTACTTGCGCCTGCCAGTCCAACTCGAGGAAGCAGACTTCGAGAACCGCTTCCTTGGCGTGTGGCCTCACGGGCGTTGCCAGGCTACATATTAGCTTCAGCGGTGTCCTCAGTTTTTCCAGGTCGCTTTCGAGACCACCCAGGCAGCAGGATTTGAGATCATCAGCGAGCGCTAACAACCACATTGATTGCAACGAGCCCGTGCTTCGTCTAGACACCTTCTGGAAGCAAGGCACTATCTTACGATAGGCGTGGCCGGGGTTCAGATAGTGCTCAAAATCACGCAAAACTAGAACATTTATCTCGGCTGCACCGATAACGCCGTTGTCCAAGAGGCACCACAGCACGTCGGGCTCCATCAAGTACACGCAGGCATCGGCCCCTCGCTGCCAAGATGACGCGGAAGGCACGATGCGGATTTCAGCTGGAAGCAGTATCCGTAGGTAGTTCACGAAGTAGTCGTCTTTGGCCATTTGATGGCCAACGATGACGGCGAGTGAGGACAGCTTTTGCCGTACTACGGTAAGGCACAGCTGACGCCTAAGCTCGGCTGGCCCGAAGGCTATGACGCAGTCTTCTTCACAGACTTTCTCGGTCAGCTCGGCTTCGCGAGGGCTAGGAATGTACAGGTCTTCTTCGTCTAGCGTCGGCTTGTCTCGAGTCCCTTCAAGATCTGCGAGGCACTGCAAAAAGTCGCAGCACACAGCGGCCCGAGCATCGCCCATCTGCGCCATATTGGATAAACGATGGCGGCAAGCTGAGATATACCTCGGCTTTTGGTCCGGCTTTCAAGATGGCTTCGATTGACGATGCGGTTGTCAGTAAGAATTCTAGAAAGCACGACCTAAACATTTTGATTGCAGCGCTGACCGCGCGCTGGGAGAAGAACCTAAATTGATTTGATGGGCTATTTAGAATAATGAACTTTGATGAATATCCCACATTCACAAGAAAAAGAAAAAAAATCAGACACGTGACTCTCCCTTTTTTCTTTTCTCGTGGTCATGTTTTCTGTTTTTATTAAGTTTTCGATTACGTGATGAAAATGCATCAAGGTTTTACTGATATCTTATCTTTTTATTAACAAAAAAAAAAAAGCACCAGGCCTGGGCGGAAGGCGCAGCATGGTCACAGCGAAAGCTACAAGAGCGACATTTCAGAGCCTTTTCTAAACACCCATTAGATAACTGCTGCAAGCACAGTTGCTTGATACCCATTACGGCATTAATAATAAAACCTTTTGTGTTGTAGGCTAGCATTAGCTACGCCATTTTTCGTCACTCTTCTGAGAAGCGTAGTATCATCTAAACACTTGCTAGGAATTTCGTGCCAATTGTTCATGCAGTGGCTGATGACGATGAGGAATCGTGCCTGAAGTGGGTATGCGTCACAGTTAATAGGTGAACAATAACAAGCGTTTGTAATGCGTTGACGCATTGGACGATCCACCGGGGACGGTATTCGCATTTTGCGACGACTGGTTGTTTTTTCGCTGTTTTAAAACATCTTATAGGTCGTATTAACGCGATTGCTTTCAAGACAAGTTTGCCAACAAGTCCCAAACACCGGCATGGCTCAGTGGTTGAATACTGGTGTGGAACCCAGTGGACCTGAGTGCGAGCCCCAAGGTGTCATTGGTACTAGGTTTTTTTTCTTCCTAACTTTGTGCGTTGAAGTTACAGACACCGGCGGCGGCCGCCGCCTTCAAACCGGTGGTTAACAGAAGGGTACATGTTTTGAATTGAGATAAAGTGGCTCATACCCAGGAGGGGATCAGCCACACGGTATAGCTCATAACGTAAGGTCCAAGTGCATTGCGAATGCGGCAGAAGCATGCGCGTTTGGGTCCTTATTAACGCGGTGGCTCTAAACAGTTCGTTTCGCAAAAATTCTTCGTCGTTGGCTGTGAGCCAAAAACAAAAATCATTGTATGACCAAAAATTGAGCATCGTTGAGTCACCGAAAAACTGAGAAAGATGACAATAAAATAAATAATAAAGATTTGTGGTCTGAGTCGGGATTTAACCTGGGTGGTTTGCACGGCAAGTGGGTGTTCTACCACACTGCCATGCCTCTTTTTTTATTTGTGGTTTAACTTCTCACACGGGGGGACAAGCTAATATTACAATACACAAAGGACATGAAGTAACAATTATTACTGCCGTCAAAGACTGCTAAAGCACATCGTTCCTCAAAATTCCTGCATAGTAAGCAGGGATTCAACCCTTTCTAACCATGAAGGAACACATTTATTTGCTCTTACAACTTCGAGAAACCTTTATATGCTTTTTTTAAATTACTGTCTTGCTGGTCTCCTGTCAGGGTCAAAGTGAAACCCAGCCAGTCGAGAGCACCATATAACGTTGACGGATTACCTTTTCTTTTATTCATGACGTCTGCTTTGAACACTGCCACGCCTCTGCTTGTGAATACAGTGTAGATACTTTCCTCTGCTTAAAAATGCAGGGAAAGTAACTTTCATGCTTTACAAACACATGCGCCCTGTCTACATGCTTAAAATGTACGGTTCAAGCATACATTGCCATCGGGCGTCAAAAGGTGAGATGATCATATTGAGTTCATAGTTTAAAAACAGTAAGCCACTGCATCCCAGTAAATGAGATCTAATAGGACTCAACGAAGTTAGGGAAACAATGACGCTTATACAATAAGAACGGACACGTCCTATGCTACCGTGAATTAGTTGACAGATAAATCATAGCATATTCACCAAGTCTGCCTGCCTGCCTGTCCGTCCGTCCGTCCGTCCGTCCGTCCGTCCGTCGGCCTGCCCACCCATCCGTCCATCCGTCCGTCCGCCCGTCTGTCTGTCTGTCTGTCTGTCTGTCTGTCTGTCTGTCTGTCTGTCTGTCTGTCTGTCTGTCTGTCTGTCTGTCTGTCTGTCTCCTTGGAATGGACGCACGGACGGACGCTTCGTCCCACTCATCATTCACTCCGTATATACGCTGTGAAAACCACTAACGCCATCAGTCATATTATTCCCAAGGACATATACACACAACGCCATCTATAGAGCGACTCATAAACTATAGAGCTGGCTACTACTACTACTACTACTACTACTACTACTACTACTACTACTACTACTACTACTACTACTACTACTACAGAGGAAGGAATGACCACTGCGTAAGAAGCATTACCCCTCACGGAACAATTGAACATGCGCCTGCGCATTAGTTCATGGCACGCGTTAGTATGAATGAACTCTACATAGTGACAGTATGTCCTTTTGTTTCTCTCACTGGGTATTGAACTTCCGTGTCAAGTCTGTGTCCTTTCATGGTTCAACTCGAACCTTTCTGCGCGGAGAATCGACCTACATAGCATCACTTAGCTGAAGCCCAGCAAGAACGCAGAAGCAAGCAGATTAAACTTCAGAATCGTCCAACTTCGCTGTTCGAAACCTTGCGCGACTTGATCGAACTTCGCCATTTGCGATATAGAATTAGTTGAAACTGTTATCAACAGTTGGAATGAGAAATCGCTGAACAGGAAATTTCGCTGCAGTGAACGTTTTTGTCTGTCAAAACATTTTTTTTTCAGAGATGCTCCCTGATCCGCGCCCCCATCACTTCATGCCTCCGTCTTGCTATGAGCTGCTATCCTGCTATCTTCGTCAGGTAAGCTAAGGTTAATTCCTTCTTGATTACTGCGGTTTTTAGCAGAAGCCAGTAGTGAATAAAAGGGAACAAAATTTGTAGGCGAGGTGCGCGGCCTGATGGTTCCGCCGTCAAGGCCACGTAGTATACGACAGACAGCGCGAGACTCTGGCGTCGGCCTTGTTGCTTGAGCGCACATGTGGGAATGAACCACGTAGTGGCGATGCAAGAACGAAATTTAATGACGCATGAAAGAAAGTGACCTGAATAGTGTCGTACGAGTGTTTTGGCTACGAAACTACTACCGAAAAAAGAAAACATGACAAGCCGTAATACAAGTCGGGTGACGTATATGAAACGCCATCTCGTAGTCTCGAGGAGATTGGTCGGCGCAGTGACTCCGCGCGTCGTAAATCACGGCGTTGAAAAGACGAAAGCCGCTTTTATTAAAAGATAGGCGCAGATGTGGAAGCATGCGAAGCACACGCAGATTGCCACTGTAAGCGGAAATGCCGTATAACAAATGAAAATGAAGGGAGGCTGAGCCTTTTGAACGTGTGCTCTATTCACACAATTGTCGGTGTGGCTGTGACTGCCAAAAATGAATTGTGATGCGTGAAATGTCGTCATGAGTACGCAAGCAAGAATATTATTTGCTTTGCACCTCATGCTGAAATGAAACTCGTCGGGCCGCGGACAACCGTGGTAATTTAGCATGGCGCTGCTATAAATCTCGCGAGCACGCATCGCTAAAATATTGCGTGAATGTAACTCATAGCGCAAAACAGGAGCGGTAGGAAACAGGATCTGCAACAGCGCAGATTAAAAATTCCGGTGACTCCGAATGGCTGATTCGTTTGCTTCTAAGAGTAAAAAGCCTATCCGTGGCTACGCTAGCTCTGAGGCAGCTATTTTAAAAAGCAGCGATGAATGTATGCCCTTCTACTTCCTTCCGAGGCAGACCGGAAGGTTACTACGTTACTGCTGACGTCGGCGGAAGAGACATTCTGGCTGCTACCATTTGTCTTCATTAGCCGTCCGTCGGACATGGTATAGCTTTCTTCTTGTTGTTCTTTTTTGATGCGATAGAAAAGTAAATGAACAAAAAGTAAAAAAATGAGCTTTTGATGGGCATGCGGTATTAAATTGCAATTAAAAAAAACTTTAAACAAGGTTAGTATACTGAAGTGCTTTAAAGCTTCATAAATGATTCAAACTTTCGTAGAAGAGGAGCGGGATCGGGAGAGGTACTTTTATTTAGGCAGGTTTATGGCTGCGATCATGATAGAAATGAACAGCAATGACAAAGTACAAAAGCAAAAAAAAAAAAAAAAGCGCCCGGCCTGCTCGCAGCACAGCCACAGCGAAAGCTATAGAAGAGTGACCTTTCAGAGCCTTTTCTCAGCACTCTTTGGGTAACTGCTACAATAAAACTTGCTGGGTACCCACGACGCCATAAATAATCATAATTTTTGTGTGGTAGGCCAGCATTCACTATGATGTCATTCGTCATTCTTCGGAGAAGCGTGGTATCCGATGCACACTTGCTAGGAATCTTGTGCAACTTTCCATGCAGTGACTAAAGACTGTGAAGAGCTATGCCTGAAGTGGGTATGCGCCCCAGTTAACGGGTGATCAAAAACACGTTTTCTAATGGGTTGGAGCTTTGGACGACCCACTCATTACGCAGTTCGCATTGTGTGACGCCTGCTTGTTTCTTTGATGTTCTAAGGCACTTTATTACTCATACTAACGCGATTACTTTCCCGACATTCAAGCCTGCTTAAGGCCAGTTTCGAGAGGATTTCCAAGTACAAGGGTGAAGAGACACCAACAAGCCAGCGCTTGTTTGTGTCTCTTCTCTTCGTCCCGTGAGTTTGTGCGCTGTTTCTGCCCATAATGTATCACCAACTAGCCCAACTTTCAGTCTTACAATGGTGGCTCAGTGGTAGAATACTGGCTAGCACGCTGCGGACCCGGGTTCGAATCTCGTTGCGTCCTTGATGTTCCTCGATTACTGAGCTTTATTTCTTATTTCTTGCGGTGTTGGTGACGGGCGGCAAAGGAGGACAACTACGGTGCCGCGCGTGACCCGTGTTCTGACCTCATAA